TGGTGGTGGTGGTGGTGGAGGAGGAGGAGGACGGCAGCCCAGCCAGCAGCGCCGTCGATCGCGCCCTCCGCGACCGGGTTTACCGGCGGACGGCGATGTACACGGGGCGGTGGGAGGGAAGGCAAGGGGTGGTGTTCACAGCGGGAGCGCGGCGGGGCCGATGCTGGTCGTGGACGACCTGTTGGAGTGGAGTGGCGACGGGGACGATGGCCCGGGTGGCGGGGGCGCCGCAGGATGGGACGGGACGGCCCTCGCCCTCGAGTTTTTGCGGCGCGAGGGGGGTAACCTCTTGGTTCGGTACTTTGTAGCGGACGGGGAAGTACAGCGAGCTAGGTGAGAGAATATGAAGTACAATCACAATTAAACGGACTGACCTCATCCGAAAATGTTTTGGTGGGTGACCGTGGGGTGTCCACGCGTCGAACGCAAGCATTTAGGCCGATCGGGGTCAAGGGGTTAGATGGACTCTGCAGCCGCCGCGGCCGCTACTGCTACTACCCGTGCTGCGGATGTGTGCGATATGGCGTTCTTCGCAGAGTTTCCTTCCACGATGCCATCAACAAGATGGCTGTAACCACTCCCCGCCTACCTGTCCACTCCCTTCCGTGCCATGTGCGCTTGAACTCAGCCTGGAAGATCACATGTGGAGTAGCGCGGATGACACGGCGGCGGCGGCGGCGGCGGCAGCAGTACCTTCCTCCTCCTTCGCTCCCCCATCCCCGTCGCAGCATCGCGGCGGCTTCTCCGCAGAGAGTCCGAGCAGGCACACCGTCACCTCGTCCTCGTTCTCCCCCACGGCGAGTACGGGGAGCCGAGCGCATCAGCAGGCGAGCACGCCCAGAAGCGTGGGCAGCGGCGGCGCGCGACGCCCCCTCGGTGCTGCCCCGAGGCTTCCCGCCGCCGGTGGGCTTGGGCCTCAGCACCAGCAGCGAGAGCCGGTTAACCTGGTTGCAAGCGCGGAGGCCGAGGTCAGGCATCTCACCTCGGCGGTTCTGCTGCTGCTGCGAGGCCTTCTCTTGTTGCAGCCCGCGGAGGCTTTCGATAGGGAGGCTGGCTGGCTGTGCCCTCGGCTGGCGGATTTGGTTGTCGTCAGGAGTCTGGAGGTTCGGGCGGTCGTGCGGGAGCTGCTGACGAGGATGGCGCCGCTAATAGGGGTCCCGGGAGAGGCGTGATTGGTGTAAACCCCGGCCGCGGCGTTCGTGGCGGCGGCGGTGGTTGGTGTTGTAGTTTTTATTCCATCGACTAGCTTTTTGTTTCGCTAGGAGGAGCGATCTCGTAGTGGCTTTGGTCCTTGTCCGTATGTGTCTTTAGCCTATATGTTATTCCAACTTTAATATTTATCCTTGTGAATAGACGGCAGGTATAGCGGGTGAAGACGCCTTTCCTTAATCTTGTGACAAATAGTAGTGACATAGTAAGATTTTTGTTTACCTTCTCAAGCTACTGCTGTGGACCTCGCCCGAGCGGCACGTAGGGCATCGAATTTTTTCTGCAGCTGGAGTAGACCGCACCTGTCGTCGGCACACGTGTTGGTTGTGGTGTGATTTTCCGTAGCATTAGAGAGTGCTGTGTGTATCGAGCCAACACAAAGGTTGACGTGATTGTGGTAGAACACCACTGGCACGCCAACACAGGTGTCGAGGACTGTGGTTGGGTACAACGTGCGCAACAGGGGCTTCTGAAACTTGTCGAAAGGTCTAGGTGGGGCTCAAGAAGCGTGCTGGTCTCGTCGACTCGTGGTATTTCTACGTTGGTGTTTGGCTCTTCTCGTTTTTTGTCGGATGTGAGCGGTGGGCACCGCGGCAATGGCTCTTGCCGCCTGTTAGTGGTGATGGGCACAACTTTCGTTTCCTTCTAAGAAGATTTTTCGGATCTGGATCGCGTGAAATATGCACGAACACCAGCAAGATACTTGTATCTTGGGTTGGAGAATGTCGCAGGGAAATGAGCGTCTCTGGGAAAGTAGAGATTGGCTGTGGTCGTGCGTGACCCCGGCAATGGGCCGCCTCTAGATGGTGAGGTTGTGGAATCGAGTCTTGGCAAAGGGAGAGAAGTAAATCCTGTCACGCGCTTCCTCGTTTGTGATTTTTTGTGGCGTCTGCAAGTTGCCCTTCGGCGGCAGCTCTTCGCGGAAAGTACGCAGATAGAGTCCAACAATGTTGTTCGTCAACGGCGGGGTGAACGTTGCGAAACCTTCCCAACGTGCAAGCTGAGGCAACCAAATCGCATAGAAAACGAAATATTCCACGCTGCTGCCCATGAGCAATCGCATAGAAAACGAAAACTTCCAAGCTGCCCATGAGAAGTACTCTTGCGCCTCATCCACACAGTTTATCATTCCCCGCTCCACGTCGTCCTTGAGTTGTCGGCAGTTTCTTCTCTCGGAGTAAGCATGGTATGCTCTGTCTCGTTGAGAGCACGAGTAGTAACCCATGGGCAAGTGGCGGAGACCAGCAAGGGATGCTCGCGCCGTTTCGTTCTATACATACGCTCGGCCTCGTGCATCCCAGGAGGAGCGAGCGGGCAACAGATGCCCCTCCTGCTTTTGATCTGGCTGCCTCGCTCACTGTTTGATTTCATGGCAGGTTGTTGTGTACCTCATACATTTTTCCGTCGCTCGCGTGTACAGTTGTCCCCTTCGTTCGATGTGTGAACAACTTCAGCGCCCTGTGCTGTTACTCACTGCTGCTGTTAGGTTGTTGAATCGTAGGGTTTGTTCACCCAGAGCGCATAGATAAAGGTCTCGCTCCGCTGGGCGAATACCTACAGGCTCTCGAAATGGCCACCTGACCCTTGCTATTGAGAAAAAAAATAGGGGCCCGTTCTTCACTTCTTGCGGACGTAAGAACTCGGAGTACCTAGCTAGATGAAGCTGCCGCCCAACACGCGGCACACAGCCAGCATCATCTACGCTTCTGCTGAGCAGCCATCATTTCCTTGGCTAGTTCTTCGACGTCCTCCATCCTGAGAGGCTTCTGGTTGGTGAGTCCTACGGGGTACTCGTCGAATGGCGCTTCGCCGTTAAACGATAGCTGGTAGTTCGTTCGCGTCCCTTGGTCCCCAGGCATCCTGCACAAGAACGCGAAAGGTAAGAACAAATATTTGTATTTGATATATGTTAACAAGTGTTCACGCCGACGGAAGGCCAAATATTACGCAGAATAAAACAACGCATTGACCACGGAACACATGTCATGTACATAAACTCGGCCTTGCTCGGCCACACAATCATATTCGCGGCTGAGTATAGTTTAGTTTATGACCTAGCAATCTTCTGACGTTTACGTTTGGGACGTGGCTTCGGACCTCGACATAGTCACATGAACTGGGGGGCAGGAACGAATATATTCATTCGACGTCGCGTTAAGCGAGCGAAAGGGAACGGCTGAATGCCTCTAGGAGCAAAAAAAAAATTTAACGCAAGCGCCGCAGAAGGAAGGCGAAGGTGAAGAAGAATACGCTTGCTTCTGTGCGGTAACTCCTCCTGTGACCCCCAGCCGGAGCGTCCAGAATACACCGTAATATGGAGGTCCCTACAGCACTCTCTCGCGGAGTCATAGTCTCCCTACAGGTAGCGCCCGCAATTAAGAAACGCTTATTTCAGTTCTAGCCTCGAATTCTTATTGTGCGCTATAAACTCAGCGTATGTCGTTCAGTTTCTTATACCATCACGTTCCTTATTTTTTCGTGCAGCCAAATCCTGCTGAATTTCTTAAATCGGCAATGTCTTATTTCTCTGCTTTCCTCGCCTCCCGTACTCAACCCCGATTCTCACTACCGACGGCTGCACGTAAGGCCACTCCCTAGAAGCGAAATGTATTCAACCGCAACGTCTTACAGCAGACAACATGTCGTGGTTCGCAGCCTGTCTGGTGTGCTGTGCCAGAGCTTTAGCGCCAGCAGAGCAGAGCGCAGAGCCCGCAGGGGGCCGGAGGGGGCGCCGCAAAAAAAAAACACCCCCCCTCGGCGTAAAACAACCCCTCTTTTCTTATGTAGTAGGGCAGCGGTCTCTGCTGTGTTTCTTATTGAGATATTTCTTATTGTGTGACCCAGATTGAGCTATGTTTCTTAACCCTATTTTCTTATTTTTCGTGAAAAAGTGAGCCTATATTTATTTATCGTTATAAAATATTTCTTAATTGCGGGCGCTAGCTGTATACGAAAGATCGACCACTGTTGCAGCAGTGGAAAATCACCTGAGCGAAGATCTAGTCTACATAAAGAACATATTAGGTTGCTCGCGACCCGTTACTCCAGATTCCTAGTCTTCTGTATGGTATGCATACATACATACATACATGCGTCGATACTGACTACAGTTGGAGCATACATTTACCCTGGCTCCTCAATAATAAGTTGTCTGACGAGAGGAACGATTACTTTACACTGCAGACGAGTATTGCATACAATGCATCGTCTCTGACATATTACTTTTCTCCACAGGAGATCCTTTCTAGAGCTTTCTCATAACGTATCGTTTGACATTGACACACCCTCTTGGTCGTCGAGCAATCGACCTTTGGATTTCGGTCCGAGGGGGGGGGTGGTATGCACCGTCATACGAACGGGTGAATTGGAGACTCGCCGCTTGAGTTTTTCCTCCAGCGATTTCAACTGCTGCTGTTGCGTCGTAGCGCCTTCGTACAGCGGCCCCCAGTTCTCGCACCACGCCTTGGCGACCTCTAGCTCGGACGTGACTCTCTGCTCCCAATTCCGCTGATCTCCAACAACGTTCTTCTCTTCATTTTTTGAGGCGGCCGCCGCCATCCTACTGCTGTAGCCGTAGCGACAGAACACCTACCGAATGGCAAGTGTGTTGGAACAATCGATACACGCTCCGCACTGTTCTCTCCCTCTCTCCACGGCAGCGTTCTCACGCGCACACACGTTCCTTTCTCGCGGTCTAAGATCTAAGAGAGAGATCGAGAGAGAGCGCGGGTTGTAAGGGAGCGGCGGGATTGCAATAACCGCCCACGCACACGCGGACACGCCGAAACGGAACCACGAGACGCCAATCGCAACATCGCAACGCCGGCCTACACCTTCTATCCGCCGCACGCGGCGGCACCACGCGGGGCGCGTGTGTGCTGCCGCCGCACCTTCCCACACAGCTAGTGAACAACATTGGAGTGTACTACGACAAGAGGACTTTTATGAGCAGTGCCTCATCCCATATACACACGCCAGCAATTGGGATCGTCAGCATTTATTTGCGCTACAGATCTATGGCAACCACGACGACGGTGGGCAGCGATCGGCTAGTTGATTATTCCGCTGCTGTTTAGTTCCTACCGTCACCACTAGTGAGCTGATGGGCAACCTCGTGCTAACATGTGTTCCGGTCGTCCCTTTAGAACAAAGCGTGGACGATGACCCTGGCGCCTATGTGAAAATGGGAGAAGGGTCGGGTGGGGCGAAGGTGGCGAATGTCCGACCAACAACGTTCATGAGCGAGGTCGAGGGTGTACACGAGCCTCCCACCACGCTGGCCAAGGTGCTCTCCAATGCTGTGTATGCCATGGCCTTCCACAAGCACCTGGCGCTAACGTGAGTGAAGGTGACGTAACATATGGTGGACGATGAGATGGCGACTCCTCTGCTCTCTAGGTTGTAAACTATTGCACTGTGGCCCGATTAATTGCCGCACGAGACACACACTACATACACGTAGACTACTACTAAACGACTGTAAGTTTACTGTAGATATCAAAATAATTAGTAAAATGCTGCATGCATCGCTTTTTTTGTGTTGATCTGTGGGTCTTTGCAATTCCTCGTTGCTGCGGCAAGTGACGTATACAATATGCTGGTTTCTTTGACTTTTCGGAGGATGTGTGTTATTATTCGAATTACTATTTTTTTCTTCTTACAACAACGCAACAAATCCACATCTCTCTCATAGATATTTATATAATAAGAGTCCGTGGTAGATTGGCAATGAATATTTGTGTTGTACGGCGACCATACAGCGATATCTCCCCTCCCTGTGGATAACTTGTTTTTTCTAACACTGGGTGAAAAGAAAGGTGGCATGGCACGAAACGTAGAGTATGTAGTAAGTAAAAGACTTCCGGAACCCCGTGATTCGCTATTGGTACTAATTACCTGGAGGTTTCGTGATACGCTGCACCCTTGGGGCCAATTTTCAGAACCCGTCCCCTATCGAAAGTGAAAAACACTTTCAGAGGTTGCGAACCCGGCCTAGTGGCACATATCGTGGAATTCTTCTATTTCAGTAGAAAAGAATGGCGCGGTCTATCCTAGGGTTGTTCCTACCTCCCGGCCATTCTATTCCCTACTCTCGGTAAGCTGCTGCACCCTACCTACCTACCTGTGCTTGCAGCACTCCGCAACAACACTGTATGTACCCTACTCTAACAAGTAGCTGTCTCCTGATCGGGAACCCCCCTACTACCCGTTTCGGCGTTGGCAACGTCTGGCGGTGGTGCAGAAATCGGAGCGAGAACTACGAGTTCTTTCAGGCCGTGTCTCACTTCGCGCACGAGACCACGGCCAACTGTCAACTCACGGAAGCCGCACGCAAGATCTACCAGCTATACGTATCGGAGACTGCCCCGCTGAGGGTGGATCTGGACGACGGCATCTGCCAATCCATTAAGAAGGTGCCTGCGGCAATAATAATTGTTTGCCGAGTTCCTTTACACAACTCCGCAAGGTGTTTCGCAAAATAGTCAAGCACAGGTAGGTGCCAAGGGGCGACCTTACAGCATTCTAGCTGCCTCCGTCCCTGAAGTAGGGGAGGGGATTCGACGAACCAAAGGGGTATATCCTTGACCGAAGAAATATCTGTGTGTAATGGAGTGTCATGGCTCGTAGGGAGGGCACATGGTGAGGAATGCGCTGAGATATTCGGGAAATTACAAGATGGAAGAGGAATGAGTGACGACTTGGCTTCCCTCACCACCATTGACGACATAGGCTCTTTCCGTAGGCGACCTGGTAGGAGGCAGGACGACGCCAGTGTAATGATATTTGACCCCTTCCTTCAGACTCAATCACTTTTGAGCTATGTGAAACTCTCTTGTCCGATCACAGGTGCAGGTTGATGTTGCTCTCCGTTGTTCTCTTTCTCTTGATTAACGCTTTCCAAGCCAACTCACAAGGATCACCGAATCGTCTGCACACTGAACAGAAGGGCACATACCTCGGCACGAAGCCCTAATCTAGCATGACATCACGTCATAGCATCTGACGACGCCAAATAACCATGGTCAAACACGATCACATGCCTACCTCCAAATACGAGAACAGGGGCCCCAAGGTCGAGTTAGACTTAACCCGCTGCCGGGGGCGGGCAGATTCTCTCCCTTGGTTTTCGGATAAAGAGAAAGGGTCCGAAAATGGGGGCGAGCAATACCGTGAAACAAGTAGTCCGCCCGTACATGCAGTAACGTGGCGTACGGGAGGTCCGTGTACCCATCTGTGGTCTTGTGAACAGAGGGACTCGTCCTTGACATACCCTAAGGTAGATAGATGCGACCATTTGTTCAGGCCACCTCCGCATCCTCCACCTTGCTGCCCACTGAGTGTGGAGACGCGTGGAATGAGCAGGCTTCACGGTAAACGTTCCACCCTTGTATTATCCCCGCGGATTTTTTTTCCATCTTTGTTGCCGCCAGCCGTGCCCATTTTGGGGCTCAACCCTTGGTCTCGTCATGTCTAACAATTTTTCTGGTAGAATATCAGGGGGAGTTGCGTCGAGTGGGGTTTGCGCTAGTAGGATACTCTCCAAATTTTTCGCATACGCGAATAAGCTGACTACTCGCGATCGTGGTATCACGACAAAGCCGACCGCAAGCCCGGTTACGGTTAGTGAAGAAGACTCGAGTGACGTTGGGAGGACCGGGACCGACCGTAAAGGAGGGAAAAGCGTACTTGCAACAGGGTGGAGAAGGGAGGGGTTGAAATAGCGTGCCGGTCCCACTTGGCCGAGCAAGACAAACGCAGTAAAGAAAAAAAGAGCCCCTTGAAAAGAGCGTTGGAAACGTGTAGTAGATGCGACACAATGAAGTTTGACATGTTGAGGGAATGACCGCTCGACTAGGAGGTACTGAGGGAAAATGACCGGGTTGTGAGAATAGTTGGGTGGGTTAACGACTTCTATGCATAGGAACGCCCGAGTGCTATCTCTGCTGGGAGAAGGGTCACCAAAGCGTCTCGAAAAGAACTCGTGGTCATGCAGAACGCGTCACCACTTAACCCTCCCAAAATATGCAGTTAGTTACAGGTTATGGGTTCAGAAAAAAGCGCGCCCGCTCATTGGGAGAGGCTGTACAGTCTCGAGGGACGAAGGCTGGCTTGGCTTCAGTATATAAAGTTTCCCCAAATGCACTGGGGACACTTTCCAAACTGAAGCCAAGTCAGCAAAATTTTCCAATACCAGGTTGTACCGGGTGATGTACATTTTTACCACGTAGGGGACACTCGGCTTGGGAGTATGTGTACAGCAAGTCAGAGGCCGAGGAGAGGCATCACACAGCAGTGTATCACACAGCACCTCACACAAGCATGGTAGACCAAGGTTTAGGTTTCCCACGAGCGTTTCACGCGGCGGAGCATAATGATGACTACGGTGCGGAAAACAGACATTTTGGTGCTGTGTCCCCACAAGTGTCCCCGTTCGGGCTTCCAGTACTAAGAGGGTTGAGGACCTATCATTATTTTGCCAGAGGCTCGTTTCTTATTTTGTCAATAGGGTAACCCTAACCCCCACGGCGACTATATAGGTCTTAGTGTACTGTACTGTTGGCTTCTTGACTGAGCACCTGTTCTTATGGCGAAAGTCTCAGGTTTTTGATTTTTTCGGCTCAAGTTCTAAACTGCTGCTTCACAAGTGAGGGAACGTTCTGTAGTGAGAGTCCCTGCCCCCACCCATGACCCTCGAACATGCGGGTCGTCTAGCCCCTCCAGGCGCTTGCCTCGGTAAGTGCAACACGCACGATGCGTGTTGCGTGTTTTCGTGAGACACATCAGGAGATAAAAGCAGCGGTACGCAACAAGCCACAGACAGGATATTTGTAAGGAGAGACATGAGTAGGGAAGATGGGACATTTTCTTGTGCTCCGAAGGAAGGCATTCGGTGAGTATGCGCGGCTTGTAGATCGATGCTAGTACGACCAAAAGAGAGGCAACAGCGGAGGGTGTGCCCAACCCAAACCGCGACACACAACCCACCCATCCTCCTCCACCACAACTTCCGTGCCGTTTCAGGCCATTGATGGCGGAAAGGTTGACAAGGATATGTTCGACTCGGCTACGATGGAGGTGGTGTCGACCATGGAGAAGGAATCGCTGTCGGAGTTCCTCGTGTCGAGCACGTACCTGGAGCTCAGGAAGAGGAAAGAAGAAGGCGGGTTGGACCAACTCCTGCAAGAAGACCTCGAGAGCGTCAAGGACATAATGTCCAAGGAGGCAAGGGTAGACAGATAGATGGGTGTACTTGTATTGTAGCGGCAATGGGTCGCGGGGCGTGGCCTTGGTCTTGTTGTCTTTTCGACTTTTTTTTTTTTGTTGCCACGGGAGCCAACGGCTTCTTCCACGCCCCACACACGCCACGCCGTCCTGTCTCTCTCTAGTCGCAAAAAAATCAACCACCCTAGCCGTAGCCGCAACTCCAAACCTGACCATATTTCCAACTTGAAGGATACGACAATGCGCGGAACCGCAACACAAAACGGCAACAACATTAACAACCACGACCACGATGATGGCGATGCGCAGTTTGTCGAGTTTCTGGGCGACCCGGGCCTGAATGTGGTGCTGTCCTCCAAGATAGGCATCGACAAGTTCCGGCAGTACCTCGTGATCGAGTTCGCCGAGGAAGGGATCGATCTTCTTTTGGCCACTCGCAGCTTCCTCGTAAAGGCCAGGGCGAAGAAAACGGCGACGGCATCGACAGCGAAGACGACGACGAGGACAACGACAACACCCAAGGAGAAGGACGAAGGCGACGTGGGGGGTGGGGTAGCAGAGGGGGCAGAGGACGGAGGAGAAAAGGGCGTGGGGGGCGACGGCGGCGCGGGCGGAGATGGGGATGGGGGACAAGCAAGCACGGAGTCGGGAATTGTTGCTCCTACCACAGAAACCCCGCAAGAAGAAGGAGAAGGGGGAGGAGGAGGAGGAGGAGGAGGCGGACGAGAAGGGGAGGAGGGAGCGCTCGAGGGGAAGAATGGGGAGGCACGGGACATGCCAGCAACAACAGAGGCAAACCCAGCACCAGCACCAGCACCAGCACCAGCACCAGCACAAGAGAACATACCAGACGGCGGTGGAGGTGGTGAGGGGGTGTTCGACATCCAACTAGAGGGGAAAACCATTTATGAGCGTTTCATCAAGAGGGGGTGTGGGGCGGAATGCAACTTGCCAGGAACGGTCGTGACAAAGGTGAGGAGGCGTTTGCGTCGAGGATGGGGGAGGGGCATGATGGATACTGGTTCTGGTGTTCGTGCAGGCGGTGGTATTGGCGCTGTTGAGGGAAAAAGTTGAAACGTGTGCCAAAGAGCGGGTTGCGAAAACTGTTCCTAGGAAGAGCCGCTCTAGACTACACCTTCCGCTCCACGGAGGCGAGTGTTGGTCCGAAAACGTCGCCGCTTGTTGGCGGGGGGTTGGTGCGCTGCCGGTCTAGGGCGAAACAGCTTGCTCTTGCTTCCACGCGCAGAGCGTCCCAAAACTGCCTGGTCTACGACCAACAGACGGTGGGAACAGACGAGAGGGGACCTTACTGATGTGGATGTACTCTAGAGTTGTCTGCCAGACGTCCCCTCTAAGTGCGGGTGGTCTCTGGGGCTGCTGATGGTAGAATCTTCAGGAGGGCTAACGGGATGTCTGGGAAGAAGGGGGGACGGCACGGGGAGGGGGGGGGGGGTCCTCCCGAGTTGGACGTGCGTGACGGGCAAAGAGCGGCCACGAATACTTTGGCCACATGCACGAGCTTCTCGCTGTCCACGCGCGCTGCAGGTTGTTTCACCGAAAGCTCGCTCGCCGCCGTGTACCGCCTGCCTCTCCATACCCTTGTACCTCTGTCCGTGTGTACGTCCCTTTCAGGTTTCGAATGTGTTGGTCAATGAAGGGACCACCATGGAGGACATAGTCCAGGCTTTCCAGGTGGTGGAGACCGAGATATTTAAGCTCCTTGCGTACGACCCTTTTCCACGCTTCAAAAGGCGAGAGACAGAGAGTAGATGTGTGTTACCGCAACCGTCGCTGACTGTCGGCTGCAATGGTATATTAACATCGTCATTTTCGTCATTTTTCATCTCTGCAAGAGCCACGAAAACAAATGTGCCGCGCCACACGGTGCCCACTTGGGTCCTGCTCACGCACGAAGTTACTACATGGTCTTCCACCTCACCCGTACGCGGGCCGGACCCTCAGCCGGGACCCGGAACACAGCACATAACGTTCGAACGTACCATCTGCCAGTCGTTCAGAGGGTACATACGCGGTGTCAAACAGGCCCTTCTCACAACCAGCGTTTCTTTTGGCATCATCCGGCTCGCTGGAAGCCTGAGTCGTTTCGCGCTATGTGTAGCACCTGCCTGGTCCCGGCTGGTGGTGGTGGTGGTGGTGGTGGTGGTGGTGGTGGTGGTGGTGGTGGTGGTGGTGGTGGTGGTCGTGGTGCTGTCGTGGTTGTTGCAGTTGTTGTTGCTGCTGTAGCTTTTGCTGCTGTTGCTTATGGTGTTGGGGGTTACTTTTTGGCATCGGGTTCCTCCCGTCGACATCCTACTTGACTTCTCCTGTTGACCCTACGGGCAAACGTTTCATGCGAGAAGCACGGTTTACTCGTCCGTGGACCCGACAAAGGAGCTGTGGCGTGTGCTGCACCGGACATCGTTGTGGTACTGACACACGATCTGTCCAACTATGCACGCACGTGCCGTAGCGTGTACGGGTCAAATGTCGTGCTCCAAAATGCTAGGTGAACATGTCTTTCGATTGAATGCATGTACGAGATTCATGAATGTACTAGAAAATACAATCTGGAAGTGTGCACTACGTTTTCCCGCAGTTTGAACCCACCTTCGTTTCAAAAAGTGGATCAGTCCATCAGCTCGGTGGAACAAAACGGTCGCACACCGCAAACTGATCACAATGTACAAAAAACTTGCCTTCGTTCGTGTGTTTGCTCTGATACTCCGTCCATTCTCCCTAGGTCTGGCATGTACACCAAGTACTGCATGAAAGCAAGGTTGCATACCCAGCGGTCTTCCCTCACCCAGATCTCAGAAAGAAGCTCACTCTGGAATAATAGCCAGAGTGAAGCATCGTCGAGGAGGGTCAACATGCCAGAGTGACATGTCGTCGAGGAGAGAAAAACCTTTAAAGTTCGTGGTTGTTCGGTAGTTGATCGGACGACCACTGCAGCCACCAAACAAGCGTTTGGCAGACACATACAGTCAGGAAAGTAGTCCCGTCCTAGGCAAGGAACAACAGTCCTTACGTTTGCTTGTTTTGGGATATGCAAACCTCCGTTACTCCATGTTGCGTGGGGTCGCGAATGAATGCGTCAGCGAGGGGCCAAAAGTGCAGCGGTTACGTATGCAGACGGGGGGAGAATCAATCGAACTGCTGGTTGGATGATGTAGGAACTCGTGGGTGAGTTCATCACTTGGAATCGTAGTGCAATTCACTCCGGGCGACCGGCAGCTCTTCTACTTCGATTTACATGGGTTTTCCAAAGGGGGGGGGGATATAAAGCGCAGAAAAAGAACCTCGTAAAGGGCAATGCGTGGTACCGTCGTTTCTCTACGAGGAAATGTACCTGACGGGGGACTTATTTCTGTGTGGGGAGGCTGTTTTTTCTGTACCTTCCCCCAAATTCTTGCTTGACATTTCCACCAACAAGCAGGATGGCATCTGTCGCCGCTATCTGCCCTTATTCGTGCAAACTGTGGAACTAACCCATCCGCTGAGAGCTGCCTTGGTGCGTGCAAAACCCACAGAGGTGCAGAGATTGGTGGTGCTGTCTGCAGCAGCTACCTCGCCGGAGGGTTGATGGCGTGTTGCACGATTTACCCGATATCCAGCTGGAATCTTGTCCGCGAATAGAATTCGTCCGATGTAATCTGTTTGCCAGAACGAGCACCAGCAACAAATACAACTATGTAAGAGAGGAGAATAACTCTCTCTTCCTACAATTTATATATCAAGGTCTACGAGGTGGAACCTTGAGGCCACAAAGAAACGTGACAAGGAGGCGTGAAGCGCCGCATAGGGTAGGTTTCCCGCGGTTAGACGGAGATTGTCAGAGAGGACAGACTCGATATGAATTGTTTGATTGTGGGACTTGATGAGTCCCTTAGTGCATCGACCGCCAATGGCATGCGATATTTGCGTTGTATATGCAGATCTTCAATAAGTACGCCAAAGACGGGGGTTTTCCGTTTGAGGTCAACATCGACAGCACGACCAAGTGCCACCTTTTGGAAATGACCACCAGAGAAACCTTCACACAACTTCCTCTGGTGGCAAGTTGATATGTAGCTGCGTACCTGTCGGAGAGATCGCACCGGTGTGCCTTGCAACAACTAATCGAAATGATTTAATTGCACTTCCGCACCGGGGGCGGAGAGATGGCACCGGTCGGAGAGATCTCACCGAGGTGTAAAAGAAAACGGGGGGAAACATTGAAACAACGATCGCACCCGGTGCCATCTCTCCGCCTTTTGCTGTAGCCATGGAACTGACAGTGCATGCCCGGCACATGACAGGGTGAATGGAGGTGGTTATCCATTGTTAGCGTTGTCTTCTCAGCAGCCGATCGAGGTCCTGGCTTTTGTCCGCAAGTGTACAACCGTATCACTGTTTATCACCTCTCTTTTTTGCATCGTTCGTGTAGAAACGCGAGGGCGAGAGCATCACACAAGGTTTCACAGATATGTTCAAGCACGAGATGAGGGGATGCGAGGTATTAAGGCCGCGGCATCAGCTTCCAATTGTTGCGTGGTTCGTATCCACGTGCGTGCGTGTTGGGTGTGCAGTATCCGCGTGTGTGTGTGCATGTGTCTTTATTATTAGCATCGACTGCGCTAACCGGCTGACCAATGAAAATATGTCTGTCTCAGTGCGGTTGAAAACACAAAACACGTTTCTAAATGCCATTAACTGGGACCCCGTGATGGGGCGGCATGGGGGAGGCTAAGCTATTCTCCGGATGAAAGACAGAAACAGTAGCAACAGAAGAAAACTGCACGCGTCTACCAAGGCTGCCACCTTGCACTCGAGTTCGATTTGGAGTGCTTCACCATCATCATCCTCCTTGCTTTCACTACCTACCATCATCATTTATCATTTTGACAGTAATTTTCCGGCAGTTCTTCTCTGGCCCTCTGTCGTTTGTTGTGTGTGTGTGGTCTGCGGTGGAATACTGATGCTTAATGAGATCCACCGCACCCAGCACTTGCGCAGCTACAGCCATGCGTACACTCTTCTTTCACTCGTCACTGGACAGCACCGACAAACGCACACATCGCAGCTCCACACGACCTCACATAGGACGCAAGTACGCCCAAATGTCGTAACAGGAATGAACGATGCACGCGTGTGTGGTATGTTGCCCAAATACTGCTGTCTGGCGAAATAAAAACGACCCCAAGTGCATCCACGCCAAAACTCAGTCTAGTCTACATAGCTAATGCCACACGACGACGACTTACATTCACAATATGTAGATGACATGACAACATGAGACAAGGGAGTGCGGTTGTAGCATGGATCCATTTTTTTTGTATTTTTGTATCATAGCGTTAGCGGACACGCTACAGCAGCAGTGAGTGTACAGTGTTCGTGCTGTTCCCCGAGCAGTATACATACAGCGATATCAATCTCCCGTGTGGGCAACAGGCTCAGCGAGACAGTGTTTGGTGACATCTTAGATGATTCTATCTACAACAATCTTGTATATCTGACTGCTGTATGTCAAACACTGGGAAGAAGGTGTAGAAGGAGCACATTTTCGGAGGGGTGTGGGTGGTCGAGTGTTCTTAATGTATGCTGCACCCTTTTTTTTGTTTTCTTAATATGACACAACGAAACCATCTCTATCATAGAAAAGAGTCTGAGACAGATTAGCAATGGATTCATAGCGTCAGAAAGTACCTGTATGTCTACGATTTCCCAGACAGCATATAGGGACATCTCCCCTGCGGGTAACAGGCTCAACAAGACAGTTTGGTATCTGTCTTGTGTGTCTCATATATGTTATGTTGAAGAACGAATCGAATCACAGAAAAAGTTGTAGCAGATGATACACACACGTACTCAAAGTGTGAAGAGGAATGTTTCTACCGCGGTGTAGGCGAGCGTCAGCAGGCGAGCGTTGGTAGAAGTAGACATGTAGATATGTAGATATGTACAGTAGACAGTAGATATGTACATATGCAGCCATCGCATGCAGTGTATGCAGCCAGTGCACATGGTACATTGTACACCAGCTACAAAGTAGTTGTCATACAGGCATACACGTTGTCTTGGTCAGCTTGGTCGTTGTAATTATAACTCTGAAAACTGGTTCTGGTTCTGAACTTTGGTTCGCACGAGAGTTGTTCTGCTGTTCCACTGTTCACTGTTCTTCACCGTCCACCGTCCACAGACACGCACGAAGTTGAGCCGCTTCTCGTCCAAACTAGACATCGATTTCCGTCTGCCGGCCCTCGGTACTTGAATATGCACTGCTGTCCGTAGCACACTGTAGCCTTGATATCTTGCAACCGTGCGGGGGTCTTGTTTTGTATCTATTGGTTTGCCTGTTGGTTGGCCCCGTCGCGTGCAGGTGTGGTGCTTTCACGCACAGTACCCACATCTTGTTTGTAGTGAATC